AATCCACCCCCGTCTTGTCAACATTAAATCAACTTTGAATCAACATCAAAGCAACTTTTAAACAACTTTTAATCAACTTGAAAGCTATTTTAGAGCTTAGAGAAACCATCAGAGTTTCTTCCAGGCATCTCTTCGGCTTAGCCCCCCCCCCCAACCCCCGAAAAAAAATTTTACCGCCCCCCCCCCCCCCCGAACGAAATGAAATTTAATATAATTTATATAGAAAATATATACTTTTAACAGTGTCCGCCCCCCCCCCCACCCCGAAGAAAGTCTACCGCCCCCACCCCCCCCCGAAAATTTCAAGTGCCCCCCCCCCCCCCCCGGAGAAAAAAAGTCTAGAAGAAACACCGAGAACCATTGACAAGTCCTTAGAGTGACCTAACAGAATAGACGCGTAACAAAATGACAGAAGGCCACACAACAGAACTCCCAGACACAACCAATGAAACGGGCCCAAACTTGCTTCATTATCAACCGTTCTTCAAGTGAAACAAACCATTGAAAACTTTCAATATCCAACCGTCTTCAAGTGTTTGTCTCAGTTAGTTCCCCTTCCGGTAACCGGAAACATGACGTCATTACATGGAACAGAGTGTCGAGTGCCAGTGACGTGGACAGTGAAGCCTCGAGTTGAACTCGACGTAATGTGACGTCATATGATTTAGTCCATGCCAACATGCTAGAGGGTGGGTGGAGGCGTGGGGTGGGGCTGGTGGAGGTATGGGGGGTGGGAGTAGATCATCGTAATACAAAACGCTAGAAACAAGCAAGTAAGCTGAAGACAATGTGCTTGTAATCAACTTCAATCCCACACCTCCACCCCCACCCCCCCCCCCCACACACACACACACCCAAACCACCACACAACGACATGATTTGTTCAAGCGTACAGCAGATATAGCAGGTAGAGCAGGTACAGCAGGTAGAGCAGGCTATAGCAGGTACAGCAGGTAGAGCAGGTACAGCAAGGGTACATCAGGTACAGCAGATACAGCAGGTACAGCAGGTAGAGCAGGTACAGCAGGTACAGCAGGTACAGCAGGTACAGCAGGTACAGCAGGTAGAGCAGGTACAGCACGTAGAGCAGGTACAGGCACGTAGAGCAGGTGAGCAGGTACAAGCAATTCTCATCAGATTCTTTAACCAACTGCTTGCGATTAATTAAAGCAGGTAAAAAAAGTCTTCACTAAAAAAAATTTTCCCATCCTATTGAATGACGTCATGTCCATTCTTCAGGTGTAATCTGACCTATATAGTTCCAGGTGAGGGGTGGCAGATAATGAGTCATCAACAGCCTACCCAAACAAGAATAAGTCTGCCGTGCTATACATGGACTTGTAAGCTGAATTGATGTCGGTGTTGACATAGGCTACAGAATAAGAAATACGGCAATACATAGAATAAGATTTTTCCCAATGTTTCTGAATGTGTGTTATGTTATAGCTTTGACGAGATAGGTCGACCTAGACACTGAAATAATGGAACAACGCTTCATCTTATAGCTTTGACGAGATAGGGTCGGCCTAGACACTGAAATAATGGAATGACGCTTCATCTTATAGCTTTGACGAGATAGGTCGGCCTAGACACTGAAATAATGGAACGACGCTTCATCTTATAGGCTTTGACGAGATAGGTCGGCCTAGCTACTGAAATAATGGAATGACGCTAACGTTATAGCTTTGACGAGATTGGCTACTCAACAAACTAACATCAGCAGTTCGTTAATCGAGACACAACTGACCATCGTCCATCAGAGATTGGGGGAGAACGTTTTTTGGATGTTTTTTTTTCAACTCTCCACCCAACAATTGTACTAAATTACATTTGCCAATCCCTTGTATGCTGTTACATTTTTCACCTTCCCACGACCTTGACCTCGATTTGTTTCAATTTTTTAGTGGGATTTATATCGAGTTAATTCCAAAGATCACCGGGGGCTGGTACTGTATAATTTTATGGGTTTTTGGTTTCTAGGTCAGGTCTGTGGTTTATAACTATCACCCCCACCCCCACTGTTCTAGCCCCTTAAATAAAGTTACATCATCGCCAGCACATAACTAAAGGAATTGACGTCTGCCAACTGGTTACACTTGTGGTGGCGCTAGTTTGTGGACTCACGGTGCAGGAGTGATGTCTGTCAACGTGCTCAACTATCACGTGACTCACACTTCCTCATAAGACGTGTTCTCCAGCAGCGGTTGGATTCTGATTAATTAATTAGTTAGTTAGCGCTTGTTTGATGGTTCTTGTCAGATAGGTCAACAATGGCCAACTGTGGTCAGGTGTTGTCAGGTGTTGTCAGGTGTGGTCAGATGTGGTCAATTGTGGTCAACTGTGGTCAGATTGTGGTCATGTGTTTGTCAGGTATGGTCAACTGTGGTTCAGATGTGGTCAGGTGTGGTCAATTGTGGTCAAATATGTTCAGATGTGGTCAGATGTAGTCAACTGTGGACAGATGTGGTCAATTGTGGTCCGTTGTGGTCAGATGTGGTTAATAGTGGTCAGATGTGGTCAATTGTGGTCAATTGTGGTCAGGTGAGTTCAGATGTGGTCAGGTGTGGCCAGATGTGGTTAGATGTGGTCAGATGAGGTCAAATATGTTCAGATGTGGTCAATTTTTGTCAATTGTGGTCATCTGTGGTCAACTGTAGTCAACTGTGGTCAACTGTGGTCAGATGTGGTCAGATGTGGTCAACTGTGGTCAGATGTGGTCAATTGTGGTCAATTGTGGTCAATTGTGGTCAATTTTGGTCAATTTTGGTCAATTGTGGCCCACTGTGGTCAGGTGTTGTCAGGTGTTTGTCAGGTGTGGTCAGGTGTGGTCAAATGTGGTCAAATGTGGTCAGATGTGGTCAGATGTGGTCAGGTGTGTCAACTGTGGTCAGATGTGGTCAATTGTGGTCAATTGTGGTCAATTGTGGGTCAACTGTGTCAGATGTGGTCAGATGTGGTCAACTGTGGTCAGATGTGGTCAACTGTGGTCAACTGTAAGCAATAGTAGTCAACTGGGGTCATCTATGGTTATCTAAGGTCAACTATGGCCAATATACTTCAATACACATATGCCAACTGTCCCTGACTGTAGCTGAGTGCTCTAACACTCGGCCACACATTGCAAGAAAAACGACAGCTAGAAGGTAAATTAGCCAAAACAAGAACAGGGACGACGATAAACGACACGAGGCAATAAAGTTGACAAATTTACGAACCAGTGGAAACTTTCTACCCACTGCAGTTCTGACCTTCACTGCAGAACTTAATTGGTCAGATTGCTATTGGCTGATCTACCGGGGTGTATGCTCAAGGCAAACGTAGACATTGTCAAGTATTTAGTGGAAAAAATGTCAATGGCACAAACTTGTAGACCAGATACCGAAAACATTTCCATGGGGAAAATGTTGATTTAAAAATAAACCGTTAGGCCCTCCAAGTTGTGACGTCCATTATAACATATTAGGTTTTATAAAAATCCTTTTTGTTTTACAACAGAAAAATTCCGAATGGTAGAATCGCCGAGCCAAAAGGGTCCCACTCACCTAAAGACTGACACTTCTCACATAAAAACTGACACCATTCACTTAAAGACTGACACCATTCACCTAAAACCTGACAACACTTACCTAAAGACGGACACAAGAACCGCAACTCCACCGTACAGTTTTTGTCGCAGTTACCAATGACGTAGACGCTCGTGCTATCCGTGACGTTGCAGGACACCACGTGATCGCTCTCTGTTGACAAATCCGTTCTTCGGCACTGGGCTTCGATGACGTCACCAGATGAACATTTGTAATTGGAAATCTGTAAATACACAAAGGATATCTGTAATAAAATAAAGAACAGTGTTGCAATATACCTAAATATCAACAATGTGTCCATAATTGTCCATTACAACCACCCTAAAAATATCAAAAACCCCGAACACCATCTAGCTAAGTTACAATTATATTCATCATCATCATCATCTCATCATCATCATCATCATCATCATCATCATCATCATCATTATCACCATCATCATCATCATTATCACCATCACCATCATCATCATTATCACCATCATCATCATCATCATCATTATCACCATCATCATCATCACATTACCACCATCATCATCACCATCATCATCATCATCATCGTTCATGTGGTCCCCCTCTGGAGTATAGAGACCCCTCCTCTCCATTGTAATTTGTTCCAAGTTGGGTCCACGACATTCCGGCTACTTTTGCTTCTCTTACAAGTTTGTTTTGGCCTAGCTACTTTTCCTTTTGGGGATTCCGGTCTAGTGCATGTCAGTTGATGTTGCTTGTTGGACTACGCAGGGTGTATCCAATCCATCCCCATTTACGCTTTTGTATTTCTTTACCAACAGGGTCTTCCCCAGTTTTTCTCCACAGTTCGGCATTGGTATTATTTTTTCAGGCAATCTGTTATTCACAGAGTTTCTTCCAGGCACCTCAACTGCTAGAACATGTTCTTGACCCCCAGGTTGTGTGAAGGGAGTTGAGTGCGGACCCTGGCCTTGTTGGTGCAGCTTCTGATGTCATCATCTGCTCCCCCCCCCCCCCATCCTTCATTACTACACTACATAGATATGTCAAGCGATCCACCTCCGAAATATTCCATTTCTTGTATCCTAAGTGTGAGCTCCTGTTTATTGTAAATTCATCACATTCTGATTGATTTTTTTTTAAAGTTGATCTCTAAGCCTGCCTGAAGTGCTTCTTCACAAAGTTTGCTTAGCTTGGACTGGGCATGCTGTTCAGTGTTTCTTCCAGACTTTTTTCTCCGTGGGGGGGGGGGGGCACTTGAAATTTTCGGGGGGGGGGGGCGCTCAACACTTTTAGGGGGGGGGGGGCGGACACTAGTAAACGTGTATGGTCGATAGACTTTCTTCGGGGGGGGGGGCGAAGAGATGCCTGGAAGAAACTCTGATGCTGTTGTTGATGTGAGAGGAGGCTGATGTTGTCTGCAGAATCGGAATTTCAACTTTTTTGGTCTGATGTTGTTATTCTCATAATTGAGTCAGACGATCACAAAGATCTTTGGCCAAAGCGTGCCGTACTCCTGTTTACAAGACACCATAACTAAAGCTCTATGTAGCTCAACTACAAGCTGAAATGTTCAAGCCTTACTTACACCTTTCAGGCTGAAGACGGTCTGGTTGTCTCCCCTGATAATTGTTGTTGGAAGCCAAGCTGACCAAGAGTTGTCTCCTGTTGGAGAGATGGGAAGTCAAGAAAAAAAACATAAGTCATGTAAAGTCAAGAATAGAAATATTAGTCATGTGAAGTCATGAATAGAAACATAAGTCATGTGAAGTCAAGAATAGAAATATAAGTCATGTGAAGTCAAGAATAGAAATATTAGTCATGTGAAGTCAAGAATAGAAATATAAGTCATGTGATGTCAAGAATAGAAATATTAGTCATGAGAAGTCATGAATAGAAATATAAGTCATGTGAAGTCAAGAATAGAAACATAAGTCATGTGAAGTCAAGAATAGAAATATTAGTCATGTGAAGTCAAGAATAGAAATATTAGTCATGTGAAGTCAAGAATAGAAATATTAGTCATGTGAAGTCAAGAATAGAAATATAAGTTATGTAAAGTCAAGAATAGAAATATTAGTCATGTGAAGTCAAGAATAGAAATATAAGTCATGTGAAGTCAAGAATAGAAATATAAGTCATGTGAAGTCATGAATAGAAACATAAGTCATGTGAAGTCAAGAATAGAAATATAAGTCATGTGAAGTCAAGAATAGAAATATAAGTCATGTGAAGTCAAGAATGGAAACATAAGTCATGTGAAGTCAAGAATGGAGCTTCATGTGAAGTCAAGGATCTAAATGTAAGTCATATGAAGTCAAGAATGGAAATATAAGTCATGGGAAGTCAAGAATAGAAATATAAGTCATGTGAAGTCAAGAATGGAACTACATGTGAAGTCAAGGATCTAAATGTAAGTCATATGAAGTCAAGAATGGAAATATAAGTCATGGGAAGTCAAGAATAGAAATATAAGTCATGTGAAGTCAAGAATAGAAACTATATACATCATGTGAAGTCAATAATGTAAATAATATGAGTCATGTGTAGTCAGTAATGTAAACATTATAAGTCATTTTCGGGGGGGGGGGGGGGGGTAGACTTTCTTCGGGGGGGGGGGGGGGCGGACACTGTTAAAAGTATATATTTTCTATATAAATTATATAAATTTCATTTCGTTCGGGGGGGGGGGGGGGGGCGGTAGAATTTTTTCGAAGAGATGCGTGGAAGAAACTCTGGTCATGTGAAGTCAAGAATGGAAACAATATAAGTCATGTGAAGTCAAGAATGGAAACAATATAAGTTATGTGAAATCAAAGATGAAAATAATTTGAATCATGTGAAGTCAAGTATGGTAACAATGTAATGTCAAGAAAAAAACAAGTCATCTTATATAATATTGAAATGACGAAGGCCTACAGCGCTTACATTGTTAAACCTTGCTATTGGAGATGTCAGATGACAGAATGACATGTCACAGCTGGAAGGTGACACAATGACATGTCACTGCCAGTAGGTGACAGAAATTGTCATGTCACGACATCCCAAAATCCCTAAGATTATATTTACAACACACTGCATGTGTTAATCTGCAACACACCGTATGTGTTCATCTTCAACACAGTGGCGTAGCTAACGTAAGAAAGGTATAGGGGGCCCAAGGCAAATAGGGGCCCTTTTCGAACATTTTAGGGGGGGGGGGTTGCAAATCGAAAGTCTGAGGGGGGGTGCAAATTGAAAGTCTGAGGTGGTGGGTGCAAATCGATAGTCTGAGGGGGGGGTGTGCAAATCGAAAGTCTGAGGGGGGTGCAAATCGAAAGTTTGTCCCCGGTCGCCGGGAAGGGTCGCTACGCCTCTGAGGGGCCCACTAACACTTTTTGTATAGGGGCCCAAAAATCCTAGCTACGCCACTGCTTCAACACACCGCATATGTTAATATGCGACACACCGCATGTGTTAATCTTCAACACACCAGGTAACAGTGTTAAAAAATCGATACACCAGGTGTGAAATGAGATGAGTTACCGCCACACACGCGAGTGGTGTGTGTCTGTGTGTGTTAGATCTATTTGTGTCCGTGAATGTGTGTGAGGGGGGGGGGGGTTCAATGCGCGTGTGTGTGAGTGAATGTGTATGTGTGGGGGGGGGTCAATGTGCGTGTATGTAAGTGTGTGTGTGTATTTCCTATCAGTTTTGGTTACATCAGAACTGTTTATAATTTATTCATGTCAGTCAAATTGTATCCAGTGTGATAAAAAGGTAACTCTCCCTCCAAAAAGTTATACTATTCTCCTCTCAACATTTTTACTTGCCCGTGCTAAGCTTATGTACATATTAAATTAATTCGTTAAAAAGTATTGTATTTACATTTTTTAGTATTACTTAAGTATTCAACAATTCGATTAATAACGGAAACGCTAAAATCTCAAACAAATTAACTCCGGAAACTTACCTTGCACGTGACCAGATATCAAGCAGACGATTCCAATATTCCATATCTGCGCAGACAGGAACGTAAACAAAGTCTGTGTCCTCATCTTGTCCTGTCCTGTCGTCAGTCAGACTTGGACCATAATTCCATGCACACAACGGCGACAGCTGGTCAGCTATCGTCTGCCAACCTAACAGCTGAGCCGTAGAATAATGTCGTGTATCAAACTTCCAACATTTCACTTTTTATTTTATCCAATGAATCACGTATTTCAGAATTAAAAAACTGAGCTTCGAAATCACGCAAACAGTCCACTGTTTCCTTCAAATATCCTAAGTTACACAATATTAAGAGGAAGCGAGAGTCCAACAGAAAACCAAGTATTTAAAAAACCTAGTTAGGTTCCCTTTATATAGTCAGAAATGTGGTCCCGTATTAGCCCGTTTTTGTCGCGACGGGTCAAAGACGGGGCAACGGTCTATAGCCGTGTCGGCTCAAGCGTAGCTGAGATCAGTGAGGCGTGAAACCCAGCTAGAGATTTCTTCACATTCAGTTGGTGGAGGGTTATCTCCCCGCCCGTATCTTATCTCTGCCAGTTGACATCATTTCCTCGCCCGACATCATGATGTCAGACATCGCGATGTTACACATAGAGTCCATGTCCATGTTCACCTGTAAAAGCAATATATATATATATATATATATATATATATATATATATATATATATATATATATATATATATATATATATATACCTATACCTATAAACAAAATATTTCTCATCGAAGCTGATGTGTACATTAAAACTACATCTATTGATCGCAAAAAATCATTATCTTCACCCCCCCCCCCCCTTATCACCACCCATCCCACCATTCTCACCTCTAAAAATCAATGCAGTTAAATGTCTACATTATTACTGTTATTTACATTATGTAAAAATATCTTGATACAATGATAATAAAAACGAACTTTCAAACATATAATTGTGCACGGCCTACAGTTCTAACTCAACCCCCACCCTCCAACCCCCACCCTCCAACCCCCACCTTCTCCACCACCCCAACCCCCACCCGTAACGGTGAGTAATGTCTAGACGTTGCGTGTTGGTCCGTCAGGTCAGCCAGACATATCCTACAGGTGTCAGCACCTCCCACACCTGCCAGACTAGGGGTGGGGGAGGGGTGGGGTGTCAGTCAGGTCATCACGTCTCAGCCCGTATCTGTGACGTAACGCGTCAAATTTTCATGACGTCACATTTCTCACCATGCCAGGAACATCTAGGTCAACATGACCTTGATGGCAACCAACCAATTACAAGTTTCGCTAAGGAGCAATCACCGTCTAGTATGTACGCCTGCTGCTAATGTCCACAGTTTGATGCACCACACAAGTATCCCACAGTTGGTGCACCACTCATGTAGCCCACAGTTGGTGCACCACTCATGTAGCCCACAGTTGGTGCACCACTCATGTAGCCCACAGTTGGTGCACCACTCATGTAGCCCACAGTTGGTGCACCACTCATCTAGCCCACCGTTGGTGCACCATTCATGTAGCCCTCAGTTGGTGCACCACTCATGTAGCCCACAGTTGGTGCACCACTCATGTAGCCCACAGTTGGTGCACCACTCATGTAGCCCACAGTTGTTGCACCACTGAGGTAGCTCACAGTTGGTGCACCACTCATGTAGCCCACAGTTGGTGCACCACTCATATAGCCCACAGTTGGTTCACCCCTCATGTAGCCCACAGTTGGTGCACCACTCATGTAGCCCACAGTTGGTGCACCAATCATGTAGCCCACAGTTGGTGCACCACTCATGTAGCCCACAGTTAGTGCACCACTCATGTAGCCCACTGTTGGTGCACCACTTATGTAGCCCACATTTAGTGCACCACTCATGTAGCCCACAGATGGTGCACCACTCATGTAGCCCACAGTTGGTGCACCACTCATGTAGCCCACAGTTAGTGCACCACTCATATAGCCCACAGTTGGTGCCATACTCATGTAGCCCACAGTTGGTGCACCACTCATGTAGCCCACAGTTGGTGCACCAATCATGTAGCCCACAGTTGGTGCACCACTCATGTAGCCCACAGTTGGTGCACCACACAAGTATCCCACAGTTGGTGCACCCCTCATGTAGCCCACAGTTGGTGCACCACTCATGTAGCCCACAGTTGGTGCACCCCTCATGTAGCCCACAGTTGGTGCACCACTCATGTAGCCCACAGTTGGTGCACCCCTCATGTAGCCCACAGTTGGTGCACCACTCATGTAGCCCACAGTTGGTGCACCACTCATGTAGCCCACAGTTGGTGCACCACTCATGTAGCCCACAGTTGGTGCACCACACAAGTATCCCACAGTTGGTGCACCACTCATGTAGCCCACAGTTGGTGCACCACTCATGTAGCCCACAGTTGGTGCACCACACAAGTATCCCACAGTTGGTGCACCCCTCATGTAGCCCACAGTTGGTGCACCACTCATGTAGCCCACAGTTGGTGCACCACACAAGTATCCCACAGTTGGTGCACCCCTCATGTAGCCCACAGTTGGTGCACCACTCATGTAGCCCACAGTTGGTGCACCACTCATGTAGCCCACAGTTGGTGCACCACTCATGTAGCCCACAGTTGGTGCACCACACAAGTATCCCACAGTTGGTGCACCACTCATGTAGCCCACAGTTGGTGCACCACTCATGTAGCCCACCGTTAATGCACTACTATTGTTGCCCCAAATACAATATCTTGTCATCACGAACAAAACATAACCTTTGACCTATAATTTATAAAGTCAGCTGGTGATAAAATCCAAAATTAGATCTAGGTGATTCGATGTCCCTGATAATCTGGTCACTAGAATTGGGGCTATAATTAGATATATTGGGCCGCAACATGAAAAACACGGATCAGAATAGATACATCAGTTTGGGCATTCGATAAAGTGTTTATTGTGGAACTGATTGATCAAATCATGACATCATCTGACGATAATTGGATTGTTAATTAAACTTAATTTATCACGGTATAAGTCGTTGCTGGCAGCTGTTTGTTTGAAAATTAAATACACTACATGGTAGACATCATCTACTTCACCTGTACTAGCTTCAGTAAGTCTCATGTTAACACAACCAATATTATACAGACACCTGACATAGACACCTGACATAGACACCTGACTTAAACACCAGACCTAGTACAGTCACAAGATATAGACACCTGACACAGACACCTGACACAGACACCTGACAAAGACACCTGACAAAGACACCTGACAAAGACACCTGACACAGACACCTGACACAGACACCTGCCAAAGACACCTGACAAAGACACCTGACAAAGACACCTGACAAAGACACCTGACAAAGTACAGACACCTGACACAGACACCTGACAAAGACACCTGACACTGTAAAGATTACCAACTCATGACAATAAATTACAACCTTACAATAAAATTACATTGATTGTTATCTCGAGAAACTGGGCAATTAAAGATACATAAAACATCGCTTACTTCCCTTTAATTCTCCTCCAAATGAATAGGTTACATCCCCTTTCACCAAGTCATCAACGCACCGAATAAACAAACCTTAGCGAAATAAAGCTCAAAACGGTAAAAAAATAAAAAATTCTTACACCAATATCTTCATGTTTGACTTGAATATAGTTCTCGATTTAAAAGTTCAGATTGTTGTTTGCATGCGATGGTTGTCATATTGAGGGGAGAACCGTGAGTCACCGAAACACATCGCTAGACTCTACAGCACCAGCTGTTCTTGTAGTTAACATTCATCAAGCTTTACAAAAATATGTCAACTTCGTTTTACCTCATCACCTGCGGTGTAAACACATCTAGTGGATATGTATAGTAGATATATATATATATATATATATATATATATATATATATATATATATATATATATATATATATATATATATATATATATATATATATAAATACCTATATACATATTTATAAGCGGGATTCGTCGATTGGATTGTGTTAAAAAGTGGGTGGGGGGGGGGGGACGGACACGAGTTATTACAATAAATAGGCTTTAATCCCGAATATCTAATGCGTATATTTTCAATCACTTTTATCTAGCCCATGTATTTTACTTTTTAACCTACTTTGTCGCACTGATAATTATTGTAACAAAGATCCATCACACGGCCCGTCTAACAAATCACACATTAATTATAACAAAGATCCATCACATGGCCCGTCTAACAAATCACACATTGATTATAACAAAGATCCATTACATGGCCCCTCTAACAAATCACACATTGATTATAACAAAGATCCATCACATGACCCCTCTAACAAATCACACATTGATTATAACAAAGATCCATTACATGGCCCGTCTAACAAATCACACATTGATTATAACAAAGATCCATCACATGACCCCTCTAACAAATCACACATTGATTGTAACAAAGATCCATCACATGACCCCTCTAACAAATCACACATTGATTATAACAAAGATCCATTACATGGCCCGTCTAACAAATCACACATTGATTATAACAAAGATCCATTACATGGCCCCTCTAACAAATCACACATTGATTATAACAAAGATCCATCACATGACCCCTCTAACAAATCACACATTGATTATAACAAAGATCCATTACATGGCCCGTCTAACAAATCACACATTGATTATAACAAAGATACATTACATGGCCCCTCTAACAAATCACACATTGATTATAACAAAGATCCATCACATGACCCCTCTAACAAATCACACATTGATTATAACAAAGATCCATCACATGACCCCTCTAACAAATCACACATTGATTATAGCAAAGATCCATTACATGGCCCGTCTAACAAATCACACATTGATTATAACAAAGATCCATTACATGGCCCCTCTAACAAATCACACATTGATTATAACAAAGATCCATCACATGACCCCTCTAACAAATCACACATTGATTATAACAAAGATCCATCACATGACCCCTCTAACAAATCACACATTGATTATAACAAAGATCCATCACATGACCCCTCTAACAAATCACACATTGATTATAACAAAGATCCATTACATGGCCCGTCTAACAAATCACACATTGATTATAACAAAGATCCATCACATGACCCCTCTAACAAATCACACATTGATTATAACAAAGATCTAGCACATGGCCCCTCTAACAAATCACACATTGATTATAACAAAGATCTAGCATATGGCTCCTCTAACAAATCACACATTGATTATAACAAAGATCTAGCATATGGCTCCTCTAACAAATCACACATTGATTATAACAAAGATCCATCAATTGGCCCCTCTAACAAATCACACATTGATTATAACAAAGATCTAGCATATGGCTCCTCTAACAAATCACACATTGATTATAACAAAGATCCATCATATAGCCCCTCTAACAAATCACACATTGATTATAACAAATATCTAGCATATGGCTCCTCTAACAAATCACACATTGATTATAACAAAGATCTAGCACATGGCTCTCTAACAAATCACAAATTGATTATAACAAAGATCCATCACATGCCCTTCTAACAAATCCCACATTGACTTTATCAACCTCGGCTCACTGATCGTTAAATTAACCAGAAAACCAATGGAGCGTGACACGTCCCAATAGAATTTGGTCCTGCATACTTCAGTACTACACAACACAAACATTTTTCTTTAGCTCTACATTTATTCTTTTTTTTTGTCGGTAGAAAACCAAAGATTACACGCCATTTTAATTTCAATTATTTACACACATTTATTCTGCAGTGACAAAATATGAAAAGTAAACTTTTAAAATGAAACAAGAAATTGAAAAAAAAAACTTGCTATACAATTTTCCACCAACCCATTGAATTTATAATGTACGGCATAATGTAAAACTATCTAACATCATTACCACACATCATCACCACCAACAACATAATATGAGTAACATCATTACCACACATCATCACCTACAACAACATAATGTAACATCATTACCACACATCATCACCTACAACAACATAATGTAACATTATTACCACACATCATCACCTACAACAACATAATGTAACATCATTACCACACATCATCACCTACAACAACATAATGTAACATCATTACCACACATCATCACCTACAACAACATAATGTAACATCATTACCACACATCATCACCTACAACAACATAATGTAACATCATTACCACACATCATCACCTACAACAACATAATGTAACATCATTACCACACATCATCACCTACAACAACATAATGTAACATTATTACCACACAGCATCACCTACAACTACATAATGTAACATTATTACCACACATCACAAACAACAACGTAACCCGAGACAAACATCATTACCACACATCATCACCAACAATAACATAACACAAGACAAACATCATTACCACTTCAGCAGCTACATCTCACCAAGGTGTCACCTGACTGTGAAGGCCACAGTGTTGCAGACGACCAGACGACACGCCTCACGTCTGCAGCCCTCTCCACGGCTCAGTAACGAGACGAGCCCCACGGTGCAACACGGTGCAACACGCCGACTCGTTCATTGTTCGTCGTGTGCCGCCACCGTTAGTCGTGTGGGAGATCGATATGTAAACAATATGTATCGGGTGGAGCCGGATCAGTGAACACAGCGGCAGGTAACACACGTCAAATTATGTAACACGTAATGTCAAGGTCTTCGGAAACTTGGGGGTCGTCCATAAATGACGTCACACTCTCAGGGGGGAGGGGATCCGTAATTTTGTGACGGTGTGTGACAAGGGGAGGGGGGGGGGGGGTTTCAGAAGGTGTGACGTCACACTTTTGCATTATAAAAAAGCAATGTTAGAAAACGAGTTTTAGCCGTTATTTCGCGTTTTAGAAAACTGTTTTAATGAATTGTAATAGGAATTGATCAAAATACTCTATGTTGAGAGAGTTCAAACAAGATTTTGGAGAAAATATCGATGTTTTAAGAAACATTCAACTGCAAATTTGAGGGGGGGTTGTAGACTGAGGTGTGACGTCATTTTAGGGGAGGTCTGGCTTTTTGTGGCGATGTGTGACGGAGGGAGGGGGGGAAGGTAAAAATCGTCAAAAAAAAGGGTGACGCCATTTATGGATGACCCCTTGTTTAGTAGGTAAACGGAAAAAAAGTCACAGGAAAAAAAAAACACAGAAAAAAAGTCACAGTTTTTGCTAGGAAAAAAAGTCACGGAAAAAAAGTCACAATGGAAAAATTTTATCGGAAAAAAAGTCACAGAAATAAAGTCACAGAAAAAAAAGTCACACAAATCTTTTTAGAAATATTTTGATTTATTTGTTAAGAATTGTAAACTTGTGTATGTTTATTGTTGTGGGTTGTATTTTTTGATAGCTTAAATTATTTACAGACGTTAAAAGCATTATGGTTTATACAAATTGTAAGTAAAAATACTCTAAGATAATTTACACAACAATCTTAACTTTTGTTACGTATTTAGTTACATACGCGGTAGAAAAGTTAACTATAAAAGAAATTTAGGCATATCATTGTGTTTTGCATAGGTTTTGCCGTAGGCTATTCTATGGTCGGCCTCTCCTCAGTCGGCATTGTCCGAACATATTTTGTGTTGACGTTTTGTGTCAATGACAGCCTTTGAACCTTGTCGGCTCTCTGTTTTGATCCTAAGTTTTGTCTGGCTTTTTTGTGGCGATGTGTGACGGAGGGAGGGGGGAAGGTAAAAATCGTCAAAAAAAAGGGTGACGCCATTTATGGATGACCCCTTGTTTAGTATATTGTAGCTTGGAAAACTATGGAAATGTCGCTAAATTAATAGAAATATTTGATTTAAATTCTTCCGAAAAGAAGCCAAATTAGATGAAATTATAAAAGCATATTTAATAGTAGGGGTGATTGTGGGGGAGGGGTGTATATGCCGGAAATAGAGTACATGGTAAAATGTAGGGATGTCAAAAGTTAAAGATCTAACCCCCACCACCCCCGCGAAAACTCAGTCTACACCTGCCTATATAATTCAGCATGTGCGAGCTTTAATGGCTAGCACGTGCATGTAATGAGTTTAACGTCTCACTTGTGTGGAGTTGATTCGAGTTTCACATGTGTGTGATAGTATTATTTATTTCCATTGATACAAAATTATTATATTTGTGTACAAATGGAAGCAAATGTACACAACACATTGACATACATATGTGATGAACACATGCAAATGTATATAACACATCAGCATCCAAATGTGACAGATGTCTACTTAATGTATACAGTGTTTCTTCCAGACTTTTTTCTCCGGGGGGGGGGGGGGGCACTTTAAATTTTCGAGGGAAGGCGATAGACTTTCTTTGGGGTGGGGGGGCACTGTTAAAAGTATATATTTTATATTTAAATTATATAAATTTCATTTCGTTCGGGAGGGCGGTAGAATTTTTTCAGAGATGCCTGGAAGAAACTCTGAATGTATATAAAAACCAAGAACTTCCACGTATAAATGTACACACAACATGAATAGAAGGGAAACAACTCTCGCAAAGTTTTAAATGCAAATTTATTCACTTAATATAATTTGCTATGTTTTAAATAGGTCTACCATTTTAAAAAGAACAGCTTAATACCACTGCCCCAAATTAATTATTTAAACAGTGTATTACAGTGGAAGTACATTTTTGCTTTACAAATGTTTTACAAAACCACAAAGCCCTAAATTTTGGCTGCGAAAAAAATTACCAAAATTTAAGAAATGATTTTTATTCCTAAACAGAATCTTATTTTCTAAAGACTTTTTTTTTAATAGGCAGTTAAAATAAAATTTTAAATATTCAGAAATGAATACTGTGAGTAAAATGCAAGTATTTCACTGTATCTTTAATATAGACTTTATGTTCAAATTTCTGTGCTGTAAAATGTTTCACTGTTGTTCTGCTAAAGCTGCAATTTAAAAAGCTGGGTTAGTAAAAAAAAAATTGAGACACCAATATTTGGTTTCCTGTGAACAAACTGAAGAGTACAGTACAAGAAAACAGATGTCAGCTCTACTTCTGGCTAAGGAGAGAAGCAGACTTTTTGATTTGTTGATGTAATTCTGGTTATGAGACTTTTTGATGTAGGTACTCAAAACTTGACATGTACCAAGTTGGACATCAATGCCAGAATGTTTTAAATGTATCAAATCCTGGCAATATGCTCATTCCTCACTATTTTATCATCTGGTCTGTTGAGATCTTCCAACAAGATATCCAGTTTTTGTTCAATCATCTGTAATCTCTATTTGTTAAAATTCTGACACAATAAAGTAAAAAAATAAATTTAAACTAGTCAAAAAAAATTTAACAATTTAACCTAGAAATACACAAATAAAGTGCATGATGATAACCAATAAACTCATGTTTATAGTCAACTGGACAATATTTTTGGTATTTTTCTTTTGTGGAATTGTAAATGGAAAAAAAACTTAAGAAGCATTTTATTTTAAATATTTTAGTTGTTTTTAACACAGAACTTGTCAAAACATGGATTTTTTAAAATGAGAAAAATAAATGAAGTATTTATTGTGACCAAATTGGATAATTAGTGGAATAGTTTCAATAAGCAGTACTCACTAGCTAGCAATATTTTCTGCAAAATGGAAAACATAATAAATAACATAAACACTCCTCTTCTGATGTTACATATGTATAACATTTCTATAAACAGAAATTTTATTAACTTTACATGACCCTTAAATCACCTCTAAACAAAATATATCACAAGACAATGGACGGAAATGTATCAATAAAAAAGAACTGACTAAAATCAGCACATACATAAGAAAATATAAAATGTTTATTAAAACTCAGCAGTAGTTTTATCAACAGATCATGGTGTAAATGTGGAATCAAATGGACCAGCATATTTTGGCAGCAGTTCACCTTTGTCTTACAAAACAGTAGGTTCAATCAAGGAAATGTTATAGTAGTTATTTGGTTTTATAAAATTATATTAAAATTATTACAATTTTTCAGTTGCTTCATTTAAGAACTCATTTAAACAACTAGTGACTGATATTTTAACAAAGTATGTCTGGATATCTGCACACACATTACATACAAATAACCAAAGGAAGAAATCTAAAGAAATATTATCACGTATTTGGTATGCTACATATTCAGATATACTTGGAACTTACTCTCACATATGTTATAAATATTCTCACATTTGAAGTATAATTTTTAAAAATATCTGCTGAATCAGAAGAACAAATGTAAAAATCATATTAACTGTGACACTCACAACATTAAACTCATGAGACTGAATGATAAAATATGTGTCAAAAATATAAGGTGAGATGTATCAAAACAACAGCTGATGATAAAGTGTATGAACAAATGCATTGTTAGAAATAGCATGAAATAATGTTTTTTTTATACCTGTTTCTAGGAAATATTTAATAATTAATTTATCAACTTAAAAATATATAGAAAAAATCTATTCAATATGTTCTTGATACAGACAGGTAAATCTATCTCGTACAGACAGGTAAATCTATCTCATACAGACAGGTAAATCTATCTCATACAGACAGGTAAATCTATCTTGTACAGACAGGTAAATCTATCTCGTACAGACAGGTAAATCTATCTCATACAGGCAGGTGAATCTATCTTGTACAGACAGGTAAATCTATCTTGTACAGACAGGTAAATCTATCTCGTACAGACAGGTAAATCTATCTTGTACAGACAGGTAAATCTATCTCGTACAGACAGGTAAATCTATCTCATACAGGCAGGTGAATCTATCTCGTACAGACAGGTAAATCTATCTCGTACAGACAGGTAAATCTATCTCATACAGACAGGTAAATCTATCTCGTACAGACAGGTAAATCTATCTCGTACAGACAGGTAAATCTATCTCATACAGACAGGTAAATCTATCTCGTACAGACAGGTAAATCTATCTCATACAGACAGGTAAATCTATCTCATACAGGCAGGTGAATCTATCTCATACAGACAGGTAAATCTATCTCGTACAGACAGGTAAATCTATCTCATACAGACAGGTAAATCTATCTCGTACAGACAGGTAAATCTATCTCATACAGACAGGTAAATCTATCTCATACAGACAGGTAAATCTATCTCGTACAGACAGGTAAATCTATCTCGTACAGACAGGTAAATCTATCTCATTTGGAACTTGGATTAATTTAAATAGCTGGTACTGGTTGTATCAGGTGCTTAATGAAAGTTTATTGCTGGGGGTAAAGACCAAAAGTAGAGGCAGTTACCATTTAAAATAAAACATCAATTTTCATTGAAATAAACAGTGAACATAAATTTTAAATAAACAATTTTTTTATGTAAATGGAACATTTGTAATCACAAAAGTACCTCTTTATTATTTGTAAACAGAAATTTTATTTCAAATTGAGCTTTGACCTTAAAACACTAAATACAGTTTTGCTGTTAAATGTCTTTTAAAAAATACTGAATGTAACAGTTTGAAACCCTCTGATCACCTGAAACTACTGAATGCAACAGTTTGAAACACTCTGATCATTTGAAACTACTGAATGCAACAGTTTGAAACCCTCTGATCATTTGAAACTACTGAATGCAGCAGTTTGAAACCCTCTGATCATTTGAAACTACTGACACAAGCAGTACTAAATTCACTGGAATGTTTTTCATCCTCAACAAACTCATCATCAACTCTTTCATCCTAATACTGTAGACGTCATCCAATCAAATTGCACGGTCAAGGTCAGCACGCCCAGATCACCTCCACACCCTGCATGTGTTATCTTTGCTGCCTGATCAAACAGAAGATTGGAAGATTTTAGGCCAATAGTAAACGTTTTAGTAACTTGTCAGAAGATTTTAAGCCATTGGGAAACATTTTATTAACTTGTCAGAAGATTGGAAGATTTTAGGCTAGTGGGAAACATTTTATTTACTTGTTAGAACATTGGAAGATTTTAAGCTAGTGGGAAACATTTTATTAACTTGTCAGAAGATTTTAGGCTAGACAGAAACATTTTATTAACCCTTTATCTACTGACGGTACTTATAAGTACCACTTTAATTAAGTCCCTGTATTATTTTTAATTTAATACGAATTTTAAAAATTATTGATGTAATTAATAGTATTATCTCCCCTGAGTCTCAGGTAGTTGGAAGGATCGATGTTTTTTGAAAAATGTTGGTGTGCTGCCAATTTCAATGTCTTGCTGTATCGGTAGTTCACAATTTTTCTGTAACGTTCTCACACACGTTCCTGATTTCCCTTTGTTTTACCTTATTATTGTAGTTTTCATCCCCAAATATTTTTATAGGCATCTCCAATAGTCAGGCAAACGCATTTAACTTCTAGTTATACAATTTTAATCAAATTGTCTTTGTATTAGATCGATGTTTACAAGTGGACTTATAAGTACCGTCAGGGCACACTGTCATTTTTTTTATTTTTAGGAAATGGCTGATTTTCGATGTAGAGTGACATAAATATTATTTTGATAATTAATTATTGAAATGTACTCAAAAAATTATATTTACACATTTATAAGAAGGTTAGCATATGGTTTACCTAAGAAATATTATAATTATATGTTGATTTCTAGTAGTAAAAGAATAAGAACAATAAAGGTAGCAGTTGAGGGCTCGTTTACTAGGTTTAGTATACTTCATTTGTATACCAAAGCCTAGTTCTAGTAGTAAGGTTTAATGTTATATTTACTACAATAAACTGTCTTGCCTACAATAACTAGTATTTACGTAATGTATACCTATAGACTAGTATTAGTCCATACTTCTGGATATAGTATAGATCTATATGGTAAATTTTAATCCGTAAACAGGAAACAATAGGCCACTTCGGCTACCCTAAACACATTGCGCTCACTTCTATTTATGAACTTTACACTGTAGTGTAGGCTTGTCATAACATTCTAGAAGGCTACAATTATACTAGTATTACTAGTAGTTGTGTACTGAATGACTAGGCTTTTGTTTGTTTATGCAGCTCATTGTAAGTAATAGCTATTGAAAGCAAAAGCATGTTCAGTCCGGCAACCGTTGCTACACTAGAATGACCACAGACAAGAATGAGGGAGCATGACATGTTGGCAACTTTTGCTGTGTTTGAGGTCTAAGATGTGTTCCGACAGAAAATCCAATAAAAATTGTACTCAAATATACTTTTGTGCTGTATTTATGTGTGAAAATTACAAAAAATGACTGTTATAATGATTGCCATGTTATTAGTTAATAAATTGTATCGTTTGTTCCTGTTTTGTAAAAAAAAAATTTTTTTGTAAAAAATGTCCTACATTCCTGACGGTACTTATAAGTACCAATATCTGTTTGGGCCATTAAAAATTTATGAAACGAAATTTCCTTCGACATATGCTTTAAATGTGCCAAAAGCAATATGATAACACATTGTTTAAGTAAAAAATTCATTCAGAACATAATTCCGTAAATAAAGGGTTAACTTGTCAGAAGATTGGAAGATTTTAGGCTAATGGGAAACGTTTTTATAACTTGTCTACCTTCATGGCTAAACATAAATCACAGTTATCTTAATTTATCACCTAATAACAATGAGCTACCCCCATCTGTAATAAAACAAACAAAGAGCACTCCCAACACAAAATAATACCTATAATAAAATAAAACAAAAAGCGTCCCCTACCTATAATAAAATAAAACAAAAAGCGTCCCCTACCTATAATAAAATAAAACAAAAAGCGTCCCCTACCTATAATAAAATAAAACAAAAAGCGCCCCCTACTTATAATAAAATAAAACAAAGAGCGCCCCCTACCAGTAATGATAGTGTTGCCCTCATAATTAAAAGCACAACTGAAGATCTCATCTGTGTGCCCTTCTAGCACCTGTTTACATTCTCCAGTCTCAGGATCCCACAGGCGAGCTGTTTTGTCAGCACTTGCTGTCATCACCAGATTGCCTTGTGGGTTGAATGTGATCTATTGATAGACAAACACAATGTATTGATAGACAGTGAATACAACTTCTTTTGTTGCTTCATGAGCTAACTGAATATCACCTTTCTCAGCACAAATGTTAATAGTTATAAACAATCCTTAGAGAATATTTGATGACCATTATAAAAATAGTTCAAAACAATAATTTAGCTGTATAAACGATTTTTTGTGTGTTAAAATAAAGGTTCATCCATTTATGATGTCCACAAAAATTGCGACACATATCCACTTTGGTGAAAGCACCCCCCACACCCAACATAATGTGGATGCTCCCAAAAATAGTTAACTCAATATTTACGCTCACTAAACGTATATGATAACAGGTGTTATGCTAAAAATTTAGACAGTGGTTTATTCTTTTCAGAAATGTTATAACTGTTAAAAGCATATCCTTGAATGAGTTTTTAAAAAATGTTAAAATTGTTTATAAGTATGAATAGTAATTTATATCATGAGCGCATGTTAAATTTTTATTACATTTTATCCACATCAACCAAAAACTAATACAGAGTATTAATGATTTATGTTTGTATGTAATAAAGTAGGTGTATAATACAGAACGTTATAACAAGTCGATACAGCCAACCCAAGTACATGACTCCTACTTCTGTTTTTATTCACTTACCACAATGTTTATAAATACTGATTCTGGGATTTGATTTACCCTGAGCTGAATGTTTTTAAACATGAACACTGTCATTTAAAGCATACCTTTTTGTATGTAGGTACATTTAGTGTTGAATGTAATTTATAACAAGGTTGATGTTATGTGTAATGGGTGTGGATGGTGTGTGATATCATGGACCCCCCCCCCAACAGCACATCTACAATTAGAATTTTTTTAACCCCCTCCCCATTCTTAAATGACTGACGACATCATAAATAGATGACGCTAAGCCTGGAGATCTACAGCCACATTACTACCTTTGAGATCTCGCCTTCATGCCCAGAAAACTTGCAGAGCTGCTGATTGGTCAAGGCGCTGTAGCAGCTCCCTGTGTTGTCTGCTGATGCCATTAAGATGCGCTGACCAGTGCAGTCAAACCCAACGTCCAAGATTTCATCAGTGTGACCTTTCAATGTGGCAGTGCAGCGACCTAATGCAAAAAAAAGCGTTGGTACAAATGTTGACAAGGTTTTGAATGCTTTAAATATTGCAATAGCTAAAATTGTTTTCTTAGAAGAGTTATAAACAATGGTTAGGCCTAATATTTGATCATATTGAACAAGTTTTAAGTAACTACATAGATATACTTTATTTTTACTAAATTTGTACATTTTTTCTCAACTTATCGTTTAGATTTAAATGTCTCTAAAGTTTGGTATACCCATCTGCATTAAGCTATGTATTGTACTAGCCATCTAAAAGCTAAAAAAATTACCAGATGATCTATCCCATATTTTACAGGTGCCATCCATGGATCCTGTTGCTATCAGAGAACAGTCCCAGTTAAATTGTGCACTACTGATCTCAGCCTTATGGCCCACTAGCGTATGGATACGTCTGAGGACAAACACAAAACAATTTACAGGCAAAGTTAAAAGGGGGAGAAGTAATAACTGAAGAATGTATCTAAATAACTTGAAATTTTTTTTTTCCTACTCACAGGAGATAACAATAGACCCACACAAATTATATCTAGTTGAGGATATTATGACAATCAGTATTTACTTCTAAATAATAATGGAAAAGAATATTTGCATGTTTAATTAAACATAAGTACACTAATACCACTTACTTATTGGATCTAACATCCCATAATGACACAGTGTGATCGAAAGATGCAGTAATTAATTCAGATCCCGTTGAATTAAAAGATAATGAAATGATTTCACCGGTGTGACCCTGAAAAAAGTTTTTGGAAATTCAAAGAAAACCAATTCGGCATATTAAAATCAAAGCTAACTTGTTTCCCACGTACAATAAAAGATGAAACTTACACTTAGGTTAGCAATGTCTACCCAGTACGTCCCACAAAGCTAACTTGTTTCCCACATACAATAAAAGATGAAACTTACACTTAGGTTAGCAATGTCTGCCCCAGTCTCCACGTCCCAAAGACGACATGTTGTGTCCATACTGCCTGTGGCTATCAGGGTACTCTGGGGGTTAAAGCTAACACAGACCTGCGTAATTAAAGTTTTATGTCAGAACTAGCAACATCTTACAGTCAGAGGCATTTCATGTGATATAACAAACAACTATTTTAAAATTTTGATCTGTTCAAAATCTTTGAATATATATTATTTTATCTTGGCCACATTTTGAAATTCTTCAAAATTAAAATACCATTAACTGCAACTTTCTAAAACATGGTACAAAGCTTAGTGCACAATAACAATGTACATATTAGCACAAAGAAAACCAAAATATGGAACACATTTCAATGTACCAAAACTAAGTGAATGTTGCAAAGAGAAGATCATAATTCAAGACTTACAATCTCAGCAGTGTGACCTTTGTACACATGATAACATTTCCCATTTTCAGAGCTCCAGATGCGACATGTTTTATCAAACGAGCCTGTCACGATCTTGTCACTGGAATAAATTGAAATTTAATTAATGTAATAATTTACTAAAGAATCATGAAATTTAGAGTAAAAATTAATTACAATTTTTGTCTAAGCAAGAGTACATGGTAAAATGATAGGGCAAACATAACTGCTAATTTATTGATATAATTGGACAAAAACCTTAGACCACATCAATTAAATAAAACTGACCCATAAGGATTGTTGAAGGATATAGCATATACAACATTTCTATGACCATCAAGAGTGTGGATTTCCTCCCCTGAGCTGGTATCCCACACTTTACAAGTCCTGTCATAACTTCCTGTAATAAAGCTGTACAAAACACATGCCACATTTTATAAAAAATTATTAAAACAAAATCTAAATGGAATAAAAATTACTAAATTATTAATTTTGGCAAAAGGAATTTATTTCTTCAACCCAAAGAGAAATTGAAAAAAATAAGTAAATCTACCAATGGAAAACACGCTACTGACCTTGAACCAGATTTGTTGAAGGCAACGTTTGTTAATGGCAGGATGTGAGCTCTTAAAACCTGTTAAATATTTTTTTTAAAGTTGTGAAGAAATTATTTAAAATAATAAATTTTCTTGTGAGAATGCTCAGTTGTTTTCATTAATATTACAATATTTTCAGATAGATTTATAGAACTTACTTTAAACAAATAATAGTGATGATTGTCTTTCTGTCCAACTTTTTCCTGTAAACCTTTATTATTGTTAAGGCAAAATTTGAACACCAACAAATAAAATTATTGTTTTAACTTCGACATTGAAACGTGGGATCAATTATTATTTTAAAACTATACAGTGAGGGGGGAAGATGTCTTGGAGTAATAGTGCGCTTAAGTGCTTACAAAAAGGTCTCAAGTTTGAATCTGAGACATGAGCCTGTAGGATGTCCTTGAGTTCCAGAGGAGATCTGATAGCTGCATGACTCACATAAAGGAAAGTAAAGGTAACGGTGATTAGTGCTGACCAGTCAGACCACACCATATCTTTATTTGCCATGGTGAAGAAACAGATGAGCTCTACCTCACCTGCACTGTAGCTTATCCGGTCTAAAACAAAAAAAAAACTTTCTATATACAGTGGGAGTCAACCTGATTAGCACCTTGCAGCCTTTTCCAGACAAATTTTGTCAGCTTTGCCCTGAGTGACACAGTTTAACATTTAAATTACAAATAGTTGTCAACAAACAGAAACTATTATTGTATGCTTTGAAAAGGATACGAGCTACAAGTTTTTTGACTTGCTCAGCTTTTGAAGGTGTTATAAGAGGTTCTTTGTCAGCAATTTCTTCAACCACTTGATCTATATCAGTACTGTTAAATGGAATAATTAAAAATTAAGGAATAAAATAAACAATAGGTAGGCTTTTTTTAGATCGGTGGTTCTTAATCTTTTTTGGAGAAACTGAACCCCCAACAGTTTCATATACACATTTACCAAATGCTTCTTAATAGTTCTATCATCCACACTGACAAAATCTAATCATGAATCATATGAGTCGGGTGTGTGTCTTAATTTCCACAGAACCCCTGAGACTGACTCACCAAACCCCTGGGGTTTGATCAAACCCAGGTTAACAACCAATTTTAAATGGATGAAAATATTATCAAGCATTTTCTTTTAAAAGTCACATTAAAAGGAATCACTTTAGACAAAGGTACTTACGTAGGTGAGAGATCAAGCAAATCTATAGATTTTGTCTTTATTGAGCCTCCCTGCTCATACTCTAATATAATTCCTGTTAAAATTTTTATACAAGTGAAGAATTATCAGATATTAACATATTTTTCATTAATTAAATGACATTTAATTTAAAATAAATACATTTTCAATAGAATAGTCAAAACACTACCTCTACACTATTACACACACAATTTGGATTTTTAATGTAGATCTAGTAAAATCTAGTTTTATTTAATTTTATGACTAAAACTTTCAAGTTGCTAATTCACTACTGTAACTTCTAAACATGGGGCATGGCTTAGTTGAGTTTAGGGACAGACAGGTGAGGTATTCAGTGGTGAGTCGGTGATCAGTCGGGAGTCAGTAGATCTAGTCAGTTATTTAAGATTATAGGCCTACTCCATTTTTTACAGGGTTTTTTTAGTAGTGTAAGATAAGAAAGTCAAAGTGTGAGTAGTGGGTAATCTATCGTTTTAGGTACGTAAAATCGCCCGCGACTAGTAATGTACAAAAAAGTTACCTCATTGTCAAGGCTTTAATAGAAGTATATTGTGATATATTTGTGTCAAATATTATAGATAAATGAATAATAAACCTAAATCAATGGCTAAATATATCAATATAGGCAAGAAATTAACTTTAAAAAGCAGAGTTTGCGAGCAGGATTTGCTATATAAAAAGCGGCCATCTGTAAGTTAGAGTGGCTTCCTCCTGAATCTCGCGCTATAAGTTTATTAAAAAAATTTCAACAAGATGGCTGCTATAGTATAGTAAATGAGCAATGTTGCATCTGTTGGAAACATCGCTAGTTTTCATTTATTACTGAAAAGTTTTAATTCAATTGTTTAAAATTTAACAACAGGTAGGCCTACAAATTGGCTACAATCTACATAAATGAAACAGTGAAACATTTTTGTATTTTTCAAAACATAAATCCTCCTCAAAACGTAAAATAATTATTAAAATTTAAGGAGTCACCTGGTTTTCACATTACTAGTCGCGGGCGATTTTACGTAGGCCCTACCTAAAGCGGCAAAGCCTAACTAAAACGATAGATTACCGAGTTGAGTAGTGAATCATTCACTGAAAATTATATCAAATTTTAAATAAATAGGCCTAACGGTTACTAGCCTGAACAAAATATTGTAATATTTACCAGGAGGATAATATCGTAACAGGAACCTTTTAAGCTTCATTTTGAGGTTAAGTATGAACTACTGTGCGTCAACTGCAGCTCGCTTAAAAATAATGCTAAAATTATTTCTAGAAAACCACAGGCATCCAATATGGCGACGTAAACTTCTGGTGCTAAGGACTCATGCCAGAGTGTTCATTTTTATATAATTATAGTTTTCCAAATGAATATTATTCAAATATTAATATCTTTACACAAGTTATTAATAATATTTTAATATCAAATTTTTATGTTGTAAAATAAAAATATTCTTATTATCTTTAGTGTTTTAAACTATTATATTTAAAAAAATCTTAATAACTTATTTCTCCCTTAAGGGGGCGTAATGCTCAACAAATTGGGTTACTATTTCCGCAAAAATAAATATTGTAGTTTACAATAAAGTCAAGTCTTGGGACCAGTGAGGGTATTTGACAACAAAGTAATGATTGTGTTGGTATTGGTCTATTTTTTCACTAATCTCCAGAAAAATGAAAATACTAGATCTAATACTAATAAAACTATTGATATTATTTCATACACACTGACACTCCGTCACAGTAACTTTTTAAGGCCTAAAAATAAAATTAAAAAGTTTGTCTTTCTCCCCCCCCCCCCCCCCCCCCCCCGCCTTTGCAGCATTTGTAACAATAATCTAAATTTATAAAATTAACATATTCGGTATAGGATTACAGGACTTCATTTTGAGATATCTTTAATTTAATACTTAATAAGCCCTAATGCTTAATATGTTGAATGTTGCTTCTTCCATCAGCCAACCTATTAAATGTGCACTATCTCCACATTTTTAGGTTGGCTGCTGATGTCATCCTATTAATTATTAATTAAACACTATATTTTAGGAGCCAGGAGAAACTTTTTTCTTTGTAGTTAATTAATTATTAATTAATTAATTAGGCCTATCATTAATGATAAAGGTTTAGTTTGTTACATCATGACACACAACACTATGTCAGTTGAGTATATAGTATATTATGGCATATGGGTATCGGGTGTGGACAAAAAATTCCTGGAAATATATCAATTGGCTTGAATATTATTTATTGTTTTGAGTTAATATATAACTGTATAATGTAACAAGACTACCTGTTAGTTAAGGCCCGGCTGAGGTCTTGTTGGAATGTTCTACCAGGGATTCAATCAAAGAGTCATCTAAAAATCTATATAATATTTGTTAGGCCTACATAAGTGCGTGTTTACTATTCTGAAAGTCCCTCGGTCAGATGAGGCTCGAAAGCTGGGGGCTCCATCTTGAAGAAAAAGCTCAGAAATCAATTTGAAGTTGAGCCACTTGGGCAATAGGATTACAAACTCTGGTTTCCTTTCGGTAGCTTCTGCGATACTGATGATTCCAAGTTGTATAGGACCGCAATGACTTGTCGTTTCAATTACTCTATAGACTGCCAATATATATGCCTAATTATAATTCCCTTTTCTTTAACCTCTAGATTGCTGTAGCAGCCGGTACATAGAAAGAAAATATTTTTCACCATCACACAACTAGTAAAATGTTTAAGGATGAAGTAAGGAATCGTAGAACAGAGCACATCCAGCAGACAGTGAGGACTGGCATGTCAAGGCTAGAAAATGTCATGGGTGATTCTGTCATGAGGTTTCGTCACATGCCATCAAGGGCTAAAGTTTTAATTTTTATATCTGCTGTCTTGTCTTTGTTTATTTACCTTTACCTCGCTAAATGGTTATTTCAAAGTGACTCTGATCAAGATTTTGAAAGTTTGCTGGAGACAGAAAAATGTCCTGCCTGCTATGGAGGCTCTGCCTGTGGCCTGATCTATTACAAGCAAATACAATTTTCTGGCATGTCTAAGTACAGAGTTCTTGATATATTAAATGGCAAAAATGTACATGTGGGATCAATAAAGCCGAGCGGGAAAGAAATTGTTATGAAGAAACTCGCAACTGATACAGAAATTAAGAAATTGGATGTGAGGATTTGTAAAGAAGCTCTGCGGCAAGAAGATTGTGATGTCGCTCGGGTCATACCTCGCACAAATTTGTCTCTCAGTCTGCATTCTGGACCCATCAAACCAGAACTTCTTCGCGACACGGGGGCGTTTATGTTTGCTTGTCCCAGTTATAGACTGCTGGACAGGATGTGGACTTACTTTCAAGAGTTTAAGAAAAAGGATGAAATATTTATGTCAGACAAGATGCAGGTTCTTTATTCTGCTTTGGCTAATGGTGAGGTGTTGATGTTGCAAGTAAGTTGTTGTTTTTTCTTGGTGTTGCTACTTCAAAATGCTTAAAAATAACTTTTTGATAATTATAATTAATAGTTAATAAACTGTATATACAATATGTTACAATTATTACTAGTTTTGTTAGGCATAGTATTAATAGTTTTAATTTCTTAACTATGCTAAAATCTTTATGTTTTACCTAACTAGTCTTTGTATTAATAGTTTTAATTTCTTAACTATGCTAAAATCTTTGTTTTACCTAATTAGTCGTCTTTGTATTAATAGTTTTAATTTCTTAACTATGCTCAAATCTTTATGTTTTACCTAACTAGTCTTTGTATTAATAGTTTTAATTTCTTAACTATGTTCAAATCTTTATGTTTTACCTAACTAGTCTTTAAAAATTATCTGTAGACATTTGTACAAATTTATGTTTAAACGAATGATCTGTGCAGACATTCCCCAAATCTGAAGGCTGGCCATTCCCTGAGTACCTTGGCTCATGTGGGAGAGTTGTGGTGGTGGAACACGCAGGTCGGCCATTGTCAGATTTTGTTTCATCATCATTCCAAATTAGGGTAAGTAAACATCACATTACTGTACAATTATTTCATTTGTTTGTGATAGGAAGTTTTTATTGCTTCTTAATTCATGTTAAAAGCTCCTTGTTGTAAATTTTATGTATGCACATTATCTTTCCATATGCAATATAATATTAATCAATGATAAACAACCTATCTCTAACTGAATGTTGCAGCCTTACTTATTAAGCTCTATAAGTCCAGATACAAATAAAGAAACTAACATGGTTGATGCTAAGAGTTTCCTTGTCCTTTTTCTCTATTAAATTAATGGTGATATTTCAATATATGCAGGCCGGGATCGCCTATGAATTACTGAACATAGCAGAAAAGTTGACCACTATGTCAGACTATGGTCTCTACCTGACAGATGTAAACCTTGAAAACTTTGCCGTTGACTACAGTGGAAAAGTTACTGTCATTGATCTGGAAAACATCATCGTTGTTGATAAGCTGGCAATTCAAGCCAGTAAGTTTTTTGTTGTTTTTTTGTGGTCTTATACATGTCATTAATTCATCAATCAAACAATTTTCAAAGTCAAATTTTAAGGAGTAAGTATTATTAGTTGGGTTTGTGAGATTAGTTTGGTGTGAATAAATGTTTGTGCGAGAGATATAATGAATGCATGGAAGGATGGCCCGTATGAATGGGGACATTTTGAGGTAGAAACTGTGAGAGTAGTTGTTTTATCTAGGGTAACAAATGGAAAAGGAGTTGAGTCTAGGCTTTGATGTGACAAGTAGATTGTGTCTTGTACCGGCTCTTCAGATCATTTGTTGGTTTGATGTCATTTAAGAGTATAAATAAACCTGTTTATGAATTTGTGATGAGTTTTGAGAAGATAGTAGTAGAATTATCCCAGTGTTTGATAGTGGAATTATCCCAGTGTTTAGTGAAAAAACAATCAGCTCTGTTTTCACATTGTTCACATGTTGACTTTGTACCTACAGAAAAACAATCATCTCTGTTTTCACATTGTTCACATTTTGACTTAGTACCTACAGAAAATCAATCAGGACTGTTTTCATTTTGTTCACATGATGACTTTGTACCTACAGAAAAACCCAAAGGCTGGAATGAACCTCTGGAGTCTCCCTTCAGTGATTGTGATGGGAAAAACTGCCTTATATTTAACAGAGATGAAATGTGTGTTCGCCTGAACAGTGACCACAACTACAACGCCATCTGTAGGAACCTGCTCTCCCACTACGCTGTCGAGGACAGAATGCCAAATGGTTTCCTGCACAGCATGCCAACTTCTGCTGAAGACTATTGGGATTTGAGTGAGTCAAAACATAGCTGTCTTTTTGTTTGCTACTGCATACTTTTTCTTTACTGTCATATTTTGGCATGTTAAATTTTTCTGTCAGTACAGTGGATTGGTATAGACATCATGCAACAAGGGGGAAAATATTTTTAGAACAAGTGAAAAAATTAATAACAGACTTTCTGACTGTACTCAGAGAATTCAAGAAAAGCAAATTTATCTACTGCACCATTAATAATATTTCTTAAAATTTAATTTAATTTCAGTTGTATGTAGTGCATTAAAATGTTTGATTTCAATGTGAATCATGTTTACATGTATTACTGCAGTAGATTGCCATATACAGCACACTTGTTGAACAAGATTTATCTGAAACAATTAGTTATGTTTAAATGATTCTGTGTAAATAAAGTATTCTTGTTGTTTTTTTTTGTCACAATAAAATGAGATAATTACAATTGTCATTTACTAATTAATTCCATATCTTTTTAAAGAAAACTTACTGGAAGAATGTGCAAGGCCAATCCACAAGGAAGGAAGGTGGAAAGTGAAAGATAAAATTCTTCATGCCTTGAAAGCTTTAAGAGATGGGGATCAGCAGCATTTAGACACCAACCGCGCTCGGGATAGGCAGATGTGAAGGCTTTAGGTGTGGTTGTGACGGATCTATCTATTGGATCATTTTATTCAGCATTTTACAATTTAATGTTTTAACAAATCTGGCTTCAGTTAATAAAACTCTTAGAGGGTTAGCTTGATGTATTTTTCCTCCTATTTCCATCTTCAAAATGTCCCTCTGAGAGCAAGACAAGCCTGATGCTATATTATTGCATTTAACTTTGTACCCAGTTTGGTATTGAACCTTAGTACAGCTTGTTAGTTTTGTTAAACTGCTTCATCCAACATGTGACCCAACTATTGGTAGAATCATTTACCAAGATCTCTAAGTTGTATAAAAACATACAAATTGTCAAATATCTCTCTCATATTTCTGTACTTATAGTACAGGTACTTCCATCTTTCTACATTCCCAGGGGAAAGAACTGTCATAAACATCTTATAAACATCATTTTTCTATTTTAAAAATTGTACATGATTTGTTACATCTTTAAATCTACCATACTTTCTTTCAGGAAAGAATGTGTAATCAATTGTTTTTAAATATGACAGATTGTTATATTTATACAACTGTTTTATATACTGTGTAAATAAAATATGGTTAAAAAAAGTATTTGTTTTGTTTAGAAAAATTCCATAAGTCAACAAGTAGGCCTATTACTCATTTTTGGACTTCATGAAACCATGATGTGTATCATGAAGTGTTGCCCCTTGTTGAGGAGCTCTCCTAAATTCGATGACAAATAAAAAGCAAACATAAAAAACTGGATTTTTAAAAAAAAAAAAACTCGTTTGTTTTTAACATTTTTATTTTCTGGTTGACAGGGTTGCCTTTCCTATAGATTAAGGAAAGATTTCAGTCCTAGATTTGTGTAATCAGACCACACCCGTGATTTGTTGAAGAAGGAAACTCGATATTTTCTAGTTTGGGTGGAACAAACCTTCCTTACAACAGCTTGACTGGGGCGCTCTGTGCAGCTGTTTTATGGCTGATAGGTCTTACAGCAAACTAAATCTATACTTTTAACTAGAGGTCTAACAGTGCTTAACTAAATCAGAGACAGGGTCTTATAATATTTCCTGCCTATGTTGCTTTAAATTAGTTTAATTTTACTAAATCATCATCTTTTTAAAATTTGCTCTTAATCGCAGTGGAATTTTTTTTTTTTTTTTTTAAACAAATACATGTATCCACCCCTACTGTGATAGCTGTGCTTAAAACTATACCAGCAACAAAACCATATTAATTACACATCCTGGAAGGTAGCTAAGTAACTTGTTTTAGACTGGTTCTTAAATTTAAATCTAAATCTCAATCTCCTTTCTTGTAAAAAAATTTCTTTCAAGACTGTGCTATAAATCTACATAAGCCTACAAAAATACGTGTTAAATCTTCATATGACTACAAATATTCGCGTTAAACTCTCAGATTTACACTAGTCATCTCACACTTGTCTATTTTGTGATCTACAATCTGAAGTCTGATCTTACACTTGTCAAAATGTAACATGATCTTGCACTTGTAAGTGTGTAACATGATCTTACACTTGTCAAAGTGTAACATGAGTTTACGTTTGTCAAAGTGTAGGTCCACCGTGAGAGTGTAACTGCCAATATTCATTCACGGCCATCGCCATTTACCCCCCCCCCCCCCCCCCCCCAGCTACTCCTCTGCTCTTTAATCTACATTTCTCCGGTCTCTCATAAAGCTGTAATTTGTTCAACAGATCGAAGCGCCATTTTTTTTTTTCAATATTTAACCCCAATATTCTTCTGGAGCATTCTATAATTAGGTGTACTTTCCCCTCAGGCGGAGTTGACACTAGCGTAAAGGAAAGTACGGGAATTGAAATACTGTCCCCTGGAGCAACAATACCCCCCCCCCCACCCACCAGAAAGTCTGAAAGTTTACCCATCAAATTCAGATCAGAACAAAACACTTTTACGCGACATTCTTTACATTTAGTTCTTGTTGGTCTATTTGGGACGGAGATTATTTTATTCTGTTGACGTTCCGAGGCGTTGCAACTAAGGCCGACAATAAAACTTGATGGGGTGCCAAAATGAGCAGGGGCAAAATATTATAGGTAACTTTTTGTTCTGCGAGTTTAAAAATAGACACCGACTTTACTCAACAAATTTGTATACCAGGGAAATGACAGAAAATGATCTAACATTTACATGCCGCAATTGATCAATAGGACGGGATATTAACAGAGGCTGTGTTAGAGATATTTGCGGGAAATGTGTATCGCACTAGTGTTTCTCTAAGCACAAGATGTTGCTACACTGATGCAAGACACGCCAAGAAAGGGTGGCTCAAGATATGTGGAGTAGCTTTTGTGGAATTTTTGTAAAGTAAATAACCTTAACCTAGTCTGATCTCTTACAACTGATGAATCACTGCACAGAGCGCCCCACATTCTCACACCTGTAGGCACACACGGCGCCCCAAGTTTCCCGCCACACTGTAATCCCTCCTGAACACGTCTGCTGACTGTACAACCCTCACCCAAATATTTCCTTCATCATCTCTTGTCATAAGTTTCCCGACCCGTCCCACGAGACGCCCTCCAGCAGCCGCGGCCTCCTGAAGGGGGCTGTGGGTGGGGGTGGTCGCTGGACGGGACCTGACGATGGGGACAGCGAACGGCGAACAGAGGCCGCGGGGGGCGGGGCGAGCAGGCGGCGTGTGGAGGCCTGGGTTCTAGGGATCCTGGTCCACGTCTGCCACATCTCGTCCCTCCTGGCCGCGGGGGTCTCCCCCGGCCCCAGGGTGGAGGCCGGCACTGCAATGTCACGACCAGGTGTCCGGGGTTTTTCCGAATCTGACGAGCTCCCAGACTCGCATTCCTCAGCGTCAGATCCACTCTCAGAGTGGGCGTAGTGGTCGTGTCCGATGGTTCCAGACGACGAGGGGTGCCCGCTGTCTACGGTGGACATCCGCTCTCGCCCCGTCTGGTGCTCGTCACGTAGGGGCAGCTCCGGGCTGGACGACGGGGGGTCAGCCTCGCTGTGGGGAGAACTGCCCGAGCACTGGTCCTGGCTGGTCGAGCTGGACGACTCGGACAAGTTCTTGGACCGGCCGCGTCTCGATGAAGATTTACTCGCCGGCTTGGATGACGAGGTGTGCCGAGTTTTTTTCCGCTCACGTGACGGGGCGGCGCTTGGCTCTGGAGGCTCCTCCCCTTTAGCGTACACCAGCGTGATCTTGATGGACTTCTTGCCCGAACTGATGAAGTAGGATTTAGGAGCCATGGAGGCCCTCTCCTGTTGAAGTAGAGCCACCACCGGGCCGGGTAACGGGTACTCCATGTAAGCTCCACTAGACTGGACGTCCGCGCTAACACCTTGCAGGACGGAGCTTTCCTCAACAGCGAAGCACATGTGAAAAGTTGAAAGATTTGATTTTCTCCAAACGGATTGGCCTTTGCTGTTGTGGTTTGAATTTCGTTTAACAGGGAGGTAACTAGACGACTGTTTCTAATTTGCTGTAACACACAGTGGGTTATCTAGAATTAAACAAGATAAGATAATCCGTCTGTGTACCATAAAATAAACTGTTGGCACAAACGATGTATCTGTTTCTCTCGTTCTGTCTGTCACAGAGCAGATTGTCTCCCTTCTTTAGCATCTTGATCTGTAGAGAATAAAAATAGTTAGCACATAACATGTTTATTCCCATAACTCAGGGGTCGGCAACCTTTTGAGACAGAAGAGCCAAATGTTAAAATTTACAAAATTTCCCAGCTTTTAAAGAGCCACTAACATTTTAATTTCAATATTATAATCTTTGATTAGGAATATATATATATATATATATATATATATATATATATATATATATATATCGTTCATTACTGAGAGTTGCAGACTAATATTTTCACGAGTTTAAAAATAAAATAAAATAATTATTAGTATTTTTGCATGGAGCTGAAGAGCCGCAACTTGACATCAAAAGAGCCGCATGCGGCTCGCGAGCCGCAGGTTGCCGACCCCTGCCATAACTCATACGAAAGACAAAAACATATTTTTTTTTACAAATCTTTGACTTTGTTTTGGGTTGTGTTTTAAGTGAAACGTTCCCAACATGTTTACTGTTTTTATTTATTAATTAAGTATAATATAACTGGTGGTCATTTCTTCACTGTAAAAAAAATAAAGGCCTACATGTCTTTGTTGAGATTTATCAAATCATGCTTGATTTCACAAGTTGTAGGTTAACGTAGATTTTGGCGTCAAAACGCATAACACTAGGCCTACATTGAATACTCATATTGTTAATTGAACACAGTTTATAAATTTTAATGGAGTTTTAGTTGATCAAGGTGACTTTATGAAAGAATAATTTATTGACTTTTTAAACCAAGAGTTTGACATCGAGTTTTGCAAACGTGTTAGTTTCATACTTTACTAGACACGATTGGGATGTGCGGGCCTACACCAAAGATAAATTGTAATGTGGCATAGCGGGTATTTCTTTTTGGGTCTATACTCTATAGTGATATCCTAGTGGTACCTAATAAAATTATTGTATCGATACTGAGCCCACAAATACCAACATTCATGTGACAACAGCTCTAGTGCTGGTAGCTAATGAAATTATTGTATCGATACTGAGCCCACAAATACCAACATTCATGTGACAACAGCTCTAGTGCTGGTACCTAATGAAATTATTGTATCGATACTGATAGAAGACACCGTGAAACCCATCGGTACAATAGACACAGGTAGATCAATGGCTAAATGTTCTGGTTCAAGTTGTGTACACACTGTTTTATTGGGGATTCGATCCTTGCCTTACACTGCTTTCCTAGATAGCAATTGTCAATGTTAATAACGTTTTAAGAGGCAGATAGCAATTGTCAATGTTAATAACGTTTTAAGAGGCCTGAGGCAGGCAGTAAGGCAATAGAAAACCTATAGACCAGATCAATACGACAGCGTATCTTTAAGATGACAGCCTAAGTTTGATAAGACAGCGTATCTTTAAGTTCAGAATGGCAGCCTAAGATTGATAAGACAGCGTATCTTTAAGATGACAGCCTAAGATTGATACGACAGCGTATGTTTAAGATCAGAATGACAGCGTATCTTTAAGATGACAGCCTAAGATTGATACGACAGCGTATCTTTAAGATGACAGCCTAATATGGATACGACAGCGTATCTTTAAGATGACAGTCTAAGATTGATACGACAGCGTATCTTTAAGATGACAGCCTAAGATTGATAAGACAGCGTATCTTTAAGATGACAGCCTAATATTGATACGACAGCGTATCTTTAAGATGACAGCCTAAGATTGATACGACAGCGTATCTTTAAGATGACAGCCTAATATTGATACGACAGCGTATCTTTAAGATGACAGCCTAAGATTGATACGACAGCGTATCTTTAAGATGACAGCCTAATATGGATACGACAGCGTATCTTTAAGATGACAGCCTAAGATTGATACGACAGCGTATCTTTAAGATGACAGCCTAATATTGATACGACAGCGTATCTTTAAGATGACAGCCTAAGATTGATACGACAGCGTATCTTTAAGATGACAACCTAAGATTGATAAGACAGCGTATCTTTA